ACCAACCAAGAAACTCCGACTTTCTGCATCTAGATTCTAGATCCACTGTCTCTTCCCACGGCTGCATCGACAGTTCATCTCAAGCAGCTACGCGTGAAGTCGAGCCATGCGTAAAAGGAAAGAACATAGAATGATTTACGGAACTCTAGATGCACAGAGCTGAAGAAACACCCAGAAACCACAGTCTTGAGGGCCGTCTTGGAGCAAAAGAGGGCACCTCTGAGCAAGGGTGCTAACAGCAAGGTTCCGTGTCGGGACAAAACAAGGATACTTCGAAGAAATCGCTGGAGTTTGGGCTGCTGGCTCCACAAGCTAATGAAAATACTGTAGGTCATCATATTGTTACCATACTGGAACCGACAAGTTTGCGAAAACGCTCCAAATGCCGCCGTCAAGCGGCGGGCTCAAACAAAAACGGACTTGCTCATGAAAGACAACCTAACAAGGGAACCATGCGCAGTTTCTTCATGGGTATGAACCTTTACATTGCTTTTGTTTGCTTTTGCTGTTGTTGTCTCTTGTTTGACTGCCGCATGCTTCTCCTTTGAACAGCTGTGCCTACCCTTTGATGTAGAAACTGTATACAACTGCAAAACTTGGCGCTGAAGCACTGCCCAATGCCCAACGCCTGCCCCCCCCCGCATGTGACGGGACCTGTAGCGTCATCGCATTTTCACACTCGCTGCACATGTGGCGGTGAGCTACGTTAGGACTGTCAGTGAATTCGCGCGCGAAGGTCTTTGGGTGAGCACATTTTTGGTGTTCCGCTGCTCTGTTTTACTGCGTGTGTGCGCCGACCAGGAACAGCATGGAACATTGGAAGACGCAAAGCAACCAAAAACAAAAGACGAGCTACAGAAGAAGGCCCTTGTTCTGCTCGCGGCCTAATTAAACAAAGGCTGCAAGGACCCTGGGTGAGTGCACCTTGACTTAGATTGAAAGTGCCATTGGCCAGCACAAGTGGTATTATGCTTCATGATGAACGAACATCTTGGTCGAGGCATGGCGTTGCCGCTCTGTCCCAGTGTCCTTGACTTCGCTCGGCAGCGACCGGCTTGCACTATGGATGCATGAGTTTGACGAGGCTGCGCCCCTGATGAAAAAGCGTTGGCCAAACGGCCAGTGGACCCTTCCTGCTTCTTTCCTTCTTTTTCGTTCTTTTCACCTTCTTCCTGTCTCTTCCTTCTTCTTGCCTATTCCTGCCGCCTCCTCCAAAGCTAAGTGTAGTAAAAAGATACGAATAAGCAGCAAACACTCACAACGTGTCAATTCCACTACCGAACTTTCCTGCATCTTACATGACCCTTTTTCTACATTCTTTCCCTCTTCCTCGCTCTTTTACCTTTCTTCTTCTTGCTTGTTCCTTCCTTATCTTTCCTTCTTCTTCACCCATGCCATTGCATCCTTTACTCATTGCATCCTTTACATCATGACAGCCCCCTCTGATTGCATCACTTGCATCCACAGCCTCCTCAAAACTTACAATTTTCCTCAATTTTTGTACACCCACTTTTGGCCGGGTTTTCCCAATAAATTCTGATTTTTGATCTTCCAAAGCTATCCATTTTGCAACGCCCCTTTTCCCAGACCCCCAAATACTCACTTCGTTCGCTATTCAGATCTTCAGCCTAGCCTACGGCTGGCTTTCGTAATACATATTTTTTATTTGTGTTATATCTTCTAAAAATAGACATCCAAATAGGCTACGCTGAAGTTCTGTTAGGCGAACGAAGTGAGTTCTAGGGGGTGTGGAGGGGATATCGAGAAAAAAACCGGTGTTGCAAGGGTGAACCCAGAGCCTGCGGGGGGAGAGCAAACAATTGTTGGGCTATGACGGCCTTGGTGTTGCGAGTGATGCTGCAACGGTTGATGCTAGCATCTTTTGCATTCTTTTGCATCATCAAGTGGGCAAATCTGAAGCGATTGCGAAGGTTTCTGACTGATCAACCTGTGAAGAGTGAAAAAGCATTGCGCTTTCAGCAAGTGCAGGGATAAAGACGTTGAGCAAATGAGGAACACATGGGACAAAATTGGTGGAAAGTGTTGGCCCTCAGGGCACGGCTGTGCAACATTGACCGAAGCATTTGTGACCGCATGTTGTCCGTTATCGAGTGACTCTAGTGGATTGACTGTTCTGATAAGTGACATCTGGGCTGGAAAAGCACCAGCGCTGTGTGTTGCTGCAGGTTGAACTGCGCCCTGCGTGAGCCTGGAGGCGGAGGCTGCTGAGGCCGTGGGGGTTGACCTGCAGTCTCACCAGCTGACGCCCAAATCCCAAAATCTAGAAACAACTGGGCGCGCCACCTGGTGACCATTGTGAGCCTGCACAACAATCATTCCCTGGATACACAATGAGGATGACATACTCCTTTGCATCTCCAATCCTTTAGACTCATGCGACAATATGCTCAGGTGATTTTCGGTTTCCTACGACGTCAAAACAACTTCGTGCCTACAGGTGACGCAAGCAACAAAAGACTGGATGCATGACCAAGCCTTGCATGCCAGCAACGGCACCTTGGAAACAATGTCACATCGAAGCAAACTTTAGAGGCTTTAATGTATCGTCTATATAATACTATTGCCTACGTGTTTCACATCAGCACCTCTACGTGCATATCCACGTGCGCAGATATGTTTTTTAATCAACATTTAGTAATTCACCCCCGAGAGAATGCACCTCTGCGTGCCCAAGTGAAGGTTGTGGCTCTCACGGAAAGCACAACATGAACGGGCAAGCTGCAAGCTAAGGTGTACGACCTGTCTGCCTATTTTTCAAAGTCTCTGGTGTCCTCCCTTTGGCAACTGCCCGTCGTGTGGTTGTTTGATATTCACATTGGGCCCCGGGTTCATCTTCCATCCCGAGTGAACCCAACCGTGTACAAGCACAAGATCTTTATCCACTAAGCATTCCAGTCGCTGTCAGTTAAACTGCACCTGAAGCACCGTAGCCTGCACCAGCAGCTCCAGCTTGCTGGGGGTAGCCACCATACCCTCGTGCGCTTTGCTATGGGGGTAGCCGCCAACTCATTCACCAAAAAAGATCAAGTGAATTCGTGATGTTCCAACATGTTTTATTTCTTGTGAAAACACCAGAGTGGAGTCAGCCTCCATAACTGCCGTAACCGGCCTTGGAAAAGAACTGCTAGCCTATTCCTAAATGGGCAGCCAATCCCCAAAAATGACATGTCCGAGATCCACACCACAGGCCTGGACGTGAACACCAAGCTTTAACACAATCGATGCCCTAGACTTCGAGCCGAGCATTTTTACTTATTCTTTAATATATAAGATTATTAACACATGAAACCATATGACACGTTCTTAGTGTTGTAAGGCAATGCTCGATGCTTTCGACTTGCCTCTGAGGTTGTGGAGGAGCAGGGAAATCTCCAGGCGTTAGATCCGGATTCCCTTGCGGCCGCAATCAGCTTTGACTTTAAGAAGCAACTACATGCCTGAAGTGCTAAGGATGACACCCCAGTAGCAGTGTCTGTCTTTGTCCCCTGCGATGTTCTTCAGGTAGCCTTAACAGCAAGCTTCCAGGTTTTCAAGTGAGGGGTACAATTTTTATTGGCATTCCAGGGGGGCAGCATAAGCTACTCATTTCCTAGACTTGGTTGAAACTCAATCAAGCTCAGCGGATCAGCTCAAACGGCCTTGAGTGAAATTTCCACAAGACCCTGCCGGCAGCTCCCCTGTGGCTTGGTCAAGAGTCTCCATCTGCGCCAAGATTTGTTCGACCATTTTTGATCGAGTGTGGTGTATGTTGCCAGTCGAAAGCTGCATGTCTGAAACCTCCATCCTGCCTGCTGCTGTGGTGAGAGCTTTGCCCCCAGCACAGCAGCTATCGCAGCAGGCACTCCAGGGCCAAACAAACCATTGTCAGAACCAGCACCTCCCCAACCAAACCTTCAAATGGCAGCGTGGAGCTCCGAAATCAGCTCACAACATCTCACAACCACTTAGGACGCCGGCAAAGGGCTGTTGGTGTCAGGGACCTGGTGCCACTTGAGCTTCCAGAAGCTTCAGTATATCCATGGTTCTTGCAAAATCTAGCCCAATGATGTAAGCATAATGGCATAATGCATTCTTTGACAACCCAAGACCCAAGCCTACACTTGCATCTGAGGCTTGAGCAAGGGTGCCTGCCGTGTTCGGCCCTGTGTCTTTCCTTGTGAGCAAGACGTCAAAAAATATTGCAAGGCACTGGAAGTGGTTGCTGAGATTGACGTCATGCTTGGTTCTCGGCCCAAACAACGCACCCATGTTGGGCAAATTATGTCAGGAATGGGATGCTACCACATCTCAAAATATCTCAAGTCATTGCAAGGTCTGCCGCATGGCTGCATCGTGCCTTCTTACACCCAAGGGCTAAGAATCGGGACTGTTGTTTGATCGTTGTTGCAGGTGATGTGGAGATATTTGTAAGTACAATAGTATACATACAATTACTCTAATAGCCAACCGTAGAGTAGTGATAAACACGCACACCTCTCAACTCTCCCTACTCGAGTTCGTGAAGTCATTACAGCGTTGTGCAGTGCTTTGCTGCCAATTAGTCGCTGAGAAGCAGCATGTCAAACATCAAGAATCAAACCAGTCAATCTGCCGAAGCGGAGCAATACACAAATCATCAACGATCGATAGCAACAGAAACATCGGCAGTAACAAATCTCCTTTTTGTCTCATGTCATGTCTCCTCTGCATCTTCAGCCTCGGCTGCCTCCGTTGCCGCAGCAGCGGCCGCCTTGGATTTGGCCTTGACCTTGGCTTTGGCCTTTGCACGCCAGCCCAAAGAACGGTCAATTTCGGCGTTGGCTCCACCAATATCATCGAGAGTCACCTATGCAGGGCACAGGCAAGAATAGCCGAGCAGGTTGGCACTGGCAACAAACAATCGAACTCCACACATGCACATAAGTGCTTGCATCTGAATGGTGGCACTCGACAGCACTTAGCGAGTCCTTAGCCTTTGCAGCCAAGGGACAGCCTGCTTTTCAACAAGTGTGAAGTAGTACCCCCCGAAGCTCCATTAATTCTTTGGATGTGCCACGCTCCACAACATGCCCTTCACGAAGGCAAATAATCTCATCCTCGGAAATGAAGTGTGAAGTCGTTCGTCTGCAGGAAAAGGTCGCTTTAGTTCCCCCAAAGTGCATTTTGCTCTTTGCGTTGCTGCAGCCGCGCTGGCCTAACTAACCAGCACAAACAATCAACAATCGCTAAACAATGGTAAACACACGTCTTTGAAAGGGATTACTGAATAACCGGAAGTGGGGCCATGATCAACTTGCCGTTTTAATCCACACCTCACCTCCGGGCACGAGCGACAACCCAGCAACCCCGCAACCTGAAACAAGGATCTGCTTGCCGCACTGTCGACAGTCTATGTGCAATGACCTCGGGCATCATCCATGGTTTTTGTCTGTTTGACGAAGTGTGGCAAACAAATTCTTACCATTACTATGTCTTAAGCCTTCCTCTTCCTCTCGACAGCTTTTACTTTCAGGAACCTCGCAAATACTCACAAATAATCGGCAAACGACCATAACACTGCTTCCACTGCTGGCCACAAGGCGATCCAGGGCCTCAAATCGGACAGGATGACTACACTGGTCACTGGCAACTACACCACGGGGAGTGTTAAGTACTGCACACTCAACAAACCTCAAAAGGATACTGACGCTAATGTTTTTGATATTCTTGTAATTGCAAGGTTCGGGCTTCCTAGTTCTGCCATCGACGATGCCGGCCTCCTGTACAATGGCTTCGCTCTCCGCATCCAATGCGCTCGTGGCCTCGTCCAAAACTAGGATCCTGGAAAGAACTGTGCGGTTTCAATCGGGTCGGTTGTTGATCAGAGTGTAGAGTTGATGTAGGAGATTTTGTGAATCAATATTGCCTGCCGCAAAGAAGAAGAAGTAGTAGTAGTAGTGGTAGGAGCAGTGATCGTCGTAGTAGTGGTTGTTGTCGTCGTCGTCGTCGAAGCAGTAGTGGTAGTAGTAGTGGTGGTAGTAGTAGTAGTACAAGGAGTAGTAGTAGGAGCAGTGGTCGTCGTAGTAGTCGTCGTCGCAGAAGCAGTAGTGGTGGTGGTGGTGGTGGTGGTAGTAGTAGTAGTAGTACGAGGCGTAGTAGGAGCAGTAGTAGTAGGAGCGGTGGTAGTAGTCATCGTCGTCGTCGTAGAAGCAGAAGCAGAAGCAGAAGTAGAAGTAGTAGTAGTAGTAGCAGAAGCAGTAGCAGTAGCAGTAGTAGTAGTAGTAGTTGTAGTAGTAGTAGTAGTAGTCGTCCTAGTAGTAGTAGTAGTAGTAGCAGTGGTAGTGGTAGTAGTAGTAGTAGCAGCGCAGTAGCAGTAGCAATCGTCGTCGTAGTCGTAGTCGTAGTCGTCGTCGTCGTCGTAGTAGCAGCAGCAGCAGGAGTAGTAGTAGTAGTAGTAGTAGTAGTAGTAGTACCCTTTTGAACAAAATGTTTGGGGCAATGAAATCGATGAGCTTTAATAGGGGGTAAAAAAGGGTTTTCAGGTCTGAGTTCCGTGAACCAAGCAAGCCGTAGTACCGTAGAAGGAATAGCAAAGCAATGTAAACGTAATTGTAAACATTTTTCCTAGGGCTCCAAGTTTACTTATTAATCGCGCCCCCCTAAACAATTCGTATTACTTACTTACTCGGGGCTTGTGTACTACCCCTGGAAACATTGTTTGGGGGAATGAAACCGATGAGTTTTAATAAGGGGTTTCAAAAAAATGTCAAAAAAGGTCTTCAGGTCAGAGTTCCGTGAAGCAAGCAAACCTAGTAGTAGTAGTAGTAGTAGTAGTAGTAGTAGTAGTAGTAGTAGTATGAGGAGGAGGAGGAGGAGGAGTAGGAGTAGGAGTAGTAGTAGTAGTAGTAACAGCAGGAGCAGGAGCAGCAGCAGCAGCAGCGGCATCAGCAGCAGCAGTGGTAGGTAGTCGTTCTAGTTAAGCACGGATTTTAAAGGGCAACGATTGCAAGAGCGTAGGCAAATCAAGAAATCTTTTAAGAACATCCTGGGTGAAAAAACTCATTATTCCTTCCCAATAAACTAATCAGGGTGTGTGAATAGTTTGGCGAACACATTTTTATTATGCCGTCCCATTATACTAATTTGGATGCGACATTAATCTGAAAATACTCCAAGTTCTGATGTGCATTGCCGGTGCTGCACCTTTCATTTTTCAGCGAAGCAGCGTGCATCGTGATGATCTAACGATATCCAACGTGACACGTGTTTTGCTCAGACAAACCAAAACCTCGCCCTCTCAGCCCGTCTCGTCCTAGGCTGCATGAGGATGGCCCGTGCCACGGAGAGGCGTTGCTTTTGGCCTCCAGAGACTTGACCTCCACGATCTCCGACGTTGGTGTCGTAGCCACCCGGGAAGTTGGAAATGAATTCCTCAAGCAGCAAAAACGCACACACACAACATTCACCAAACTTGGCAATTTGCATCAAGCAATGTTCAACGTGTCAATGTGCCAGCAAAGGTGTTTCTATATTTCTTCTATCATGCCTTGAGCTGGAGAAGGGGATTTGCAAGGTGCTTTCGCGCATGAGGAAAGCATGAAAGAACCATCGAAGGCTAAATGGATGGTGTGTGGAGAAAGGGGGTCAGCAAGAAAGGCTTAAACGAAGTTAGTGCATCAAACATACCGTCCATAAAGTTCTGCAAAGGTTTCTGGGTTTTTGTTGCGGTTAGTTTTCCATACCAGTAGTTTTCCTACTGGCCCACCATTCCACGAAATGTCCACGAATAGCCCTGGGTTGCACGAATGTCCCAGGCCTTCCACGAAGCTCTTTCTGTGCACTACCCGGGCCCTTTCGCTGTAGTGCAGCCTAGCATCGTGTGCACATGCAGCCTTCGCAGCTGCAATCATTTGGTCTTCAAAATCCTCAGGGTGGCATGATTCTGGTTGTCACATGTTGTCACTTGGCAATCTGGCCCGTTTTTGAAACAATTTTCCAATCGACTTGGGCAATGTGGAGCTAAGTAAACATCTTGTGAGGCATCATCATATGGCTAAAGGATTTATCAGTATATAGTTGATTGTAATGATTATAGATGTATATAGGCTATATAGGTATCAGTATATAGATTGTTGTGAAGACTCACAAAGAGGCCTGTGAGACATAGATAATGAGATCATATGAGATCTATATACGCGTATCCACAAAAAACATCAAACTATGTCCTTGGGATCGGATTCAATACGGCACTGAGGCAAACCATAGAGCAAATTCTGGCGCACAGAGGTATTAAAAAGCACCGGCTCTTGAGCTACCAGCGCCTGACAAAGCGGAACTTGTTTGAACACGATCTGTTCTGGTGCCACTTGGTGCCTTCGATATCCCAGCGGTAGTGCAAACTGAGCTTGGGACCATGTGCCGATGCAAATGGGTCAGTTCCCAGTCTTTCAAGGGCACTCCGTCGATGAAAATTGTTCCCTCAAAGGGATCGTAGTAACGGAAAATGAGCTGCCTAAGATGCTCTGCCACTTGCAGCTGGCTGTACAATGAAAATCAATGCGCCCTCGCCAAGCTGCACTGTGGTGCTCTTGCCAGACCCAGATGCACCAACAAGAGCGGTGGTTTTTCCAGGCTGCAGTTCCATCGACAAACCGTGCAGGACTTTCCTGAAGTCAGGCTCTTGTTGGTGCGTGCTATGGTGCACAAACATGTACAAACAAAACACAAAATGTTTGGGACATGATAACTGTTTACCCACGGTTACCACTGGACACCCCCTAACAGTGTCTATGAAGGTATAAAATTAATGCATTTGCAATGATTTGCGAGATTTTGATTTTGTGTTGACACCCGCAAAGACTGGGGCTTTAACTTGACAATCTCCCCGCAGATTGGGTGAGTTGTCCTATGTTGTCCTTGATTCAACCACTGTCTACAGTGACCATGGACATGCAAGTCTTCCCAAGACTTGCGACATATGTGTCACCGCACAGCCAACTCTTTAGTTTCTTCATCGAAGTGGCTGCTCTGGCCGCGTCGGATACGCAAAAGATACATCTTCGAACACCACATGCCCTTCGACAGGTCCATCATATGTACCTACCAAACGAACTCGACAAACCGCGCACTGCTCTTGCCCTAATTCCTTTCTTTAATTTGCTATGCACTGCGTAATGCTCTTTCAAAGCGTGCCAACACAACCAGCAAAAAGTGTTAGCCCAAAGAAAAATACTTAGACGTTGAGTGCGAAAGAGAATGAACTGCACCCGCCCGCATGGTTCGGCCTGGAAAGATTTTTGGCTGTTGGTCCAGAAATTCAAAGTGCTCGGCAAGGCTGTCACTGGTATTGAAGAGGTCCTGCAACGTGGTTTAGTTTGATTGAGCCGTTTTCGACTGCATAGCCGTCTACATACTGGTTTATTCATGTTTGTTCAGTTTGGCGCGTTGATCCTCCACTTGAGACTTGAAGCTGTTCACTTGGTGGCCAAGTTTGCTCACAAGCAGCAGGAAGGAGGTCATCTCTGCCGCAGAGGAATCCACATTTACCCAAACAAGGCCCAGCCACAGCGAGACACCTTGAATCACGCACCAATGCTAAACTTGGATTGACACACGAAACATCCTCATTCAAGAGCCCAACAAACACAGCTGGCTTTCTGGCAAGAGTCAGTAGATTGCCTGCTGCAAGGTGTCAGCGGCAACCTGTGCGACGCCCTGTGTTACAGTCAGCCTGATCGCGAAAAAACACAACACCGCTGCCATTAAAAGACTCCTGAGCAATTCATTCAGCTTCTCGATTGCAAAAACAACGATATGAAAACGTGTGCAATCAGGTTGCTTCATGCCAGCAGCCTCTTCCAGCGATAATTTCTGCAAGGATGTATGCCTTATTGAGTTTGGGCCACCTTCCTCTGTTTCTTTTTGTTTCGAGCATGAGCTTGATTGACCAAAGTGCAGAACGCACATAACAAACACATGCAAATGCATGCAAACGCTTAAGCCTTCCCACTCTGATGGACTCATGGTTTCACCCATGCTTTGCCCGTGCTTTGTCTGGTCAAATCTCTATTGACTCTATATATTGTTTAGCCAAGCTTCCAATCCTGGCACAGGACGCAAAAAACAAAACTATATGAATGTCAAAAACAGCATGGTTATATAATGCAAAACTAACTTATCATTGTGCTCTTGACGCGCTCAACAACCTGAATGGCAAACCACTTGATGTGTGACAAAGGTTTGAGCATGCCCATCCTCGCGCGAGAAGGTTTTGACCTCAACATCCGGCAGTCACAACTCACAACATGACAAACGACTTGACCCATCATCTTTAATGCACTTGAAATCCCATTGATGTCAACTCCCCGACTACTACGGGTGCCAAGTGGCGACCTTGATCATTTCGCACGCTTCTGCAACAACTCTATTAGCCACTCCCTCCAGACCACGTTCCCGCCGCAAGCTGCCTTTGGCTTGCTTTCCTGGGCAATTTTGGCTTAAGCAGGGTGCCCAAAAAGGTCACAAGCAAGGCATGTGAGAGCACTACTGAGATCTCGTCTCAGGTAGGCTTGAGCTGCCACTTGAAAAGCAGGAACAGCGGTAGCGTACATGAAGGTCATCAGCGGGGAGATCCTCAGATGCCGCAGTTCAGGCTGGTTAATTATGGCACTTGCTTGAACTTGATTGTCAGCACTCTCCAACCAGCAACACAACCAACACCAATGTGTCAGTGACTTGGGGCCTTCCCCACTGCAGCTCTGACAGGCCCTCCAGTTTGGTCCGTCGATGGGTAATTGCCCAACATTGTGTCCGCCTGAAAGCTGAAGCTCTTTGATTAGTTGCATGGTGAAAGCCGGGGCAGGGTGGCTCGTTTGGTCTTCTGGAGAATCTTGGATGTGCCAGACACAGGTCATGCACTGCGTGGGCGGCGACATCGTTGACCAATGCCCTGAAGAGTTTCTTGATCGGAAGATAAGATCTTTGATGGGGCATACACATGTATACGGATGTTGGCAAACCCTGGATCCTGGACACACACACACATAACCAGCAGGTCTTCCAAACAACTGCGGGCGCACGAACACTTGCGAGAACGGCCTGGCCTCACAGTAGCAAGCAGGTTGAGAAGAGCTGATACACCAGCTGGGGGCACTTCCGTGGAGCCGTTGTTGCTTGAACAAAACCACGTTCTCATGCAAGAAGATCGACACTGTAAGTGCCAAATGCATCCAAACGCTTCATTACCAGGTTGCCCGATCTGGGTGTCAGCAGAGTTGTTAACATGCACAGCCTGTCACTTGGAGCATTGTGGATCCCAACTGTATAGGAGTGGACACTGCTCCCGGGCATGCATTGAACGATGTGCCAAAAAGATTCTCTCAGGGCAGCGTACGTTTTCAGCCAAACCTGGGATGAACACCTAGGGAACGCCCTTACGACACGGCTGGATGAAACCTTGGACTGACCCCACGGAGGAGAAGCATGAAACTACGATGAAGCAAGGAAGTTCACACAAGCTTCCCTCGAGCTTCACCCAGCGCTCCAGGCTAAGAACATGACTCAAGGTTCGGCAGAAATACTGTAATATAATGTCTTTTTAACCCTGGAGACTGTGGCCACTTTTGGGGTCTTGAATGGTCTTGAGTGAGCAAGGGAAATGCAAACGGAATGATGAACGGAGACCAAGTTTTTGATAATGCAATAAGGTGAGGTTTTGCCAGCCTGTCGCATTGCTGTAGAAGGCTTTGTTTTTTTTGGCTGGATGTTGGAGACACGCAGTTTCATCAAAAAGGGTTTTGCTCCATCTTCACCTGTCCATAACTCTGCAATATTGCAGTACGGCAACCTGTTCTTGGCGGAGGTAGGAGTAAATTGATTTGAGCATCCAGCCAACCAAAGAGACCACCAACCTGCTCCTGAATCTGCCGAGCTTCGAGTAGAGGAAAATCAGCGATGTCAAGAGTTCTGTGAGTGTTCTTACCATCGAGGTCACCATGAGGGGCATGCTATCCATAACCTGAGATGTGCTGCCTATCCACCTGCCATGGGAGCCATGCGATTTGAAGTGCTACGGGGTTTCCCATCAAACAACGTTGTGGCTTGACCAAGGGCCAAGTTGTGACATTCGGTCTGCGTATGCCTGTGCCTGAGCACTGCAAGCCAAGTCGCCATTGGGGAAGCTTTGTTTGCCATGACTCTCGCAGTCTGCTTCTCAAACTCTTCCTAAGATTCAAATCAGCCAAGATCACTGGCTTGTCATAATTCAGAGGGTCCTGTGGGAGTTCATCATTCGGAGCATCGGGGGTGCCCCTCCTTGTTGATTGATTTGAGCTCAGAAACCAGGTCTTGAGCTAGCAAGTGGTCGAAGAGCTCAGTCCGTGATTGAACTCGATATGAGTCCTGCATCACGCTGCCTCAACAGCTTTTGTTCCAAACTCATCTCGGGTTCCATCTTGACTCTCACTTCAGACAAAGTTTTCTGTCGTGACTTAGATACTCAAAACCATTCACTGAACACGTCCTTGAATGCTTTGGTGACGTGCTGGGAGATGACGCTCACTGTGCCCTTCAAGACGGCCAAAAGCATCAGGCCCAAAATCAAGCTCTTTGCAAGTGAGAGTCCTTAGACAAGTGGCATCGAGTGGGCGACAAACGCCGCCTTCTGCTCTCATATCCTCATTGATGCTGCTGGTTGTAAGCACCGTCAAGATTCGGGAACCACACCCAAACGTCCAAGAGCATATGAAGTGCAGAAAATGACTGTCCTTCTTCACCTCCTGCTCGCCTGTCAGTCTCTGTCTGACCAATCACATGCAAAAGTGCATCAAATGTTCATCGCTGGTTCAATGGACTCTTCTTTGACGCAATCGACTTCTAGGATTCTAGGATTGTATTTCCAGACTTTCCACTGCCCAACAAGTGTGTCAAGAAAGAACCCAGCCAAAATGCTCATCCATCTCAGCCCCGTGCTAGCATTGATCAAGGTGAAAACTGCCCCGGACAGGACTGTCTTCACGCTATCGCAGGTGCTCATCACAGCAGCAATGCCAGCAGTAAACAAGGTCCTGCAAGGCTGTGGCAGAAAAGAAGCCCGCAGAATCCTGGAATATGAACAGCCACACCGGCGGAACCTGTCTATCAATTCCGGAGCACCTTTACAAAACACCCGGCATCGTTGCATAGACTGGCATTTCTTCAAAGCCTTTGGGTTGGTTGGGCCAGAGAGGTCCCCTCTGGGATCACAATTTGAGTGCCTTGAGCTGCAGCATCTTTTAGTCGGCACGTGGTACTGGTATTTAATACTGAATTGAGCAATTGTTAAGAAAGGAACCTGTAGGCACAACGTGGGGTTCGGAAAGCTCAACACACAACGTTCATCTGCCATTGTCAGGAAGGATGAAAGCTTCTTGATGTGACACATGTTTTGCTGCGTTCATGGTACTTGTAGCATCTTGTAGCCAATACATAGTCACTTCTAGGAGGAGCCTTAAACGCCTAAAGCGACCTCGGGGAGTCCAGTCCTGGCTAAATGACGTCGTAAGTCCATCATTGCCAGCAAGCGCCCCAAAGTTGGCCTCGCCGACCTCACATGATGGGAGCCGTAGCTTAGCCGTCGGCGAAGCTGAAGCTGGGTCTGCTTCAGCCGCTTCACTTCTTGAATTCATTAACACTTTGTGATGCTGGGTCTCTGGCTGGATTCTTTCCATCGTCTCTGCAAGGGACATGGACATGTCCCGCCAGCGCTTCAGGTTGAACTGGCCTTGCTCCTTAGGATCAGCTAGGAACAGTCATGGGGTGATTAGAAACCTGCAAGCTGTGGGTCCACTGAATACAGAAAACCGATTGACTCCATCCCATCAGGTTCACCTTTCAACTCATCACCCGGCATGAACTCCCTCCCCTTTTCAGCCAAAGTGCTGATGCCAACTCTTCGCATTTTTTTCGCCGCGGGTGAGGTCCCCAAGCTTTAACTCGTGAGGTAGACACCAAATCCAGGACAATGCCTGAGGGTTGCATTTACGCTTCAGTGGGCTTCTCAATCATGCTTAGTTGAATAGGATCCTCGGCGAGATGCTTTTTGGGGTTGTCCTGATGCAAACATTCGTTTCTGGAGTGTTGCTTCTTTGACAGCACACGGACCAAATCCAGACTGAAGGGAACACAGGCGTGACCCGCAAGTAGCCTGCGCCAGGTCTTTCTCCAGAGGGGAATTCCACATAGGACTCTCCTGGCCCTCCATTGACTTCCCGAGCCTCACAGGAATCCAAATTCCATTGGAACATGATCTGGTTGTTGCTTTACATGGCTTACACGTGTGTATGCATACTGAAGATGCACCCACCATTTTCTACAATACATGGGGCAGCAAAGCAACACTGCCCAGGTGTTGCTAAAGGCTTTTCGTGCAACACGCCAACTCGCGATCCAATGTTCGCCTCTCACGCCCTGCCACTATAAGTGGGGTGCTAGAGAGTAGGTATGTACGAAACACAACAAGTATGCACACAAGACACATGCACATCACAGATATCCAACACCGGTGTAAAACGCAGTGCGGATAGGTGAACATCAAAGTGAATTAATACGGCCGCGGCCACGTATGAAAGCACCTAGTTCGGGACATCAAGCCCAGCAAGATTTTGCTTAAGTCGGAGACATTTCTTGAGCTTTTGATAGAGATTATGTCTTTTATTGTAGGAAATATCTTGATATGGCGGCTCCGGGCAAATCTCAGCAGCTGCATGAAGGGACGGAAGCACTCGAGCAATTATATAGCGGGTACGATTGGTTTGGCACTGGCGAATACGTCGTCAAATTTTCCATGAGCAGGCCAGCAAATGGAAGTGTCGGTCGTGCAGAAATGCCGCCAACAAGACTACGGTGATATCCTAATCGTACCAAGGAGCTCGCATTTGTCTTCTTATAGCGGGGGTAAAACTCACACTGCAACGTATTTTCGAGGTAGCGCACAACAGAACGAAGAACCCCTGCTTGATGCCAAAAACTCCGCCTTTCAGCTGGTTGAATTTAATTTAGCTTCGGGTGAGTCGAAAGCATATGGTCGAGGCAAACTATCAGATTTAGATGAGATCCAAATTGGTAAAACATGTCCTGTGAAGATTGCAAAGTAAAACGCTAACTCATACCACGAAATACCGAAATCTCCTGGGGAAGCCGGTGTTTCCTTCGATTTCCATTCAAGTGTATGAAACATGCGCCAAACCTTAAAGGCAATAGAAGCTCCACAAGGACATGCTTGTGCAACAACTTCGGGAAGTTCACACTGGAGTGTCCAACCCACCGCGGAAACTCGCCAAGTTTGAAGAGTGTCTTTAAAATTGGAATATGCATCTAATGTATTAAACTCATGCGTTGCAGCCGCATTCTTTTCCTTCTCAAGGTTCAATTTAGATCAATCTAGAATGAAGTGCATTTAACTCTGCAAGATAACGATAAATGGCAGAAAGAACATGCAACTGCAACAAATCCTATGCTCAATTATTTGATGCAATGCACCTGCACTATGCAGTTCAAAGGTGGTGGTAGAGTCATATCTACGAACCCTGCTATGATCGACTCTCAAGACTAACAACTTATAACATCTTATAACTATAATCAACATTGATCAACTATATATATATATATAACTTTGTGTATTATGCAATCTAAACTGTGGTAATGGTGACGTCCTGAAGTCACAGTTTTGCAAGGTTTGAATATTCTCCCTACCAATCACTTACCAAAGAATCCATCCAGGTCAAAGACATGTTCCCAGTTTTCTGGTCCTTGCCTCCAGGGCTGCCAAGCGAGCAGGCCGCAAAAGGTCCCGCAAGTCTCGAAAGCAATCAAGCCAAGGATGATCTGACACAGAAAACCTATCGGTCGTCTGCGTGCGAGCTGGGGTGGTGCACAGTTTCTCTCTTTTGCCTCTCAGAGAAGCCTCAGTTCATTCTAGGCCTCTAGGTTCTAGGCATTTGGATCATTTAGAGAAGTCTCCACTTTGGGACATACCAGTAGGATCCAGTACTCAGTAGATAAGGCATCTGTCCTAGTCACATGATTTCACTTTGTCTGTCAGGATATCCTCCGCTCTCTCACTCTCTTTTCACGCCTCAAAGGGCCACATTGCCAGGCCATCTCTTGACCTCCTCCCAGGCGCTGGGCAAAGCTGAAAGCCGATTCACGGCCTCACGGTGATCGCACACTTGCAAGTCTTGCTAAATGGATCATCAGCTGCATGACAAATCACAGAAGAGCCCCTCGTTAAGAGCAAATTGCGTTGCTAGGGGCCCCAACCAACGAAGTTGCGGCTTTGAACCTCGTCGTCAGCGCTCCCTTCTGCCAGCCAATACACTGCCCACATCTTCCTGGGTGCCCAAGAATTCAAGAGGTGAGCAGCAAATTGTAAAAGCGGGATTGCTCAATGAGTTGAAGGACAACGACTTCTTTGCCTTGAAGCATTCAAAATTAGTGGGCAACAATCAGTGGCTCGAACATCCCCAAAAGCCATGCCTGTACCGTGGCTTTGTAGTGAGACCTGTAGTGTGTTTGGATCCTCGATGGGCTCATCCTGTTCTAGAGCAGGTGAGGCTCAGCTCGAGATCGTCCACAGGAGGGGCGGGGCCTTCGACAATGCCATGACAGCCTCACGTCCAGAGTGAAATCCATCTAATTCAATTGCTGATGGTGCTCTCACATGTATAAAAACCCGCTGCCGCTCTTGGCCCTGAAACATGTTCAACCGTGTTTGTGCTGAGTCTTGCTAAGTAACGGCCATTGTGCAAACGGAGTCCCAGCACTGCACATCCAGGTGCCGCTTTGAAGACCTCCACGTTCTCCTGTGGGATCAGCCGGAATCTAAAATTGCCAAGCTCCAAACACTTCTGAGCCAAGTCATGACATACCAAAACCGGAGGTGCATGACGTGGAAGCGATGTGGGCGATAGCAAAAACTGATTGGACACATCTCAAGTCTGTCCTCGAGCCCTGAAGACCATGTTCCACAAGCTTCTAGGCAGCGTCCTGTTCCACAAGAGACTTCGCACATCTGGTGAGACTTCGCACGTCCGCTGAGACGACGGATCAGCCTTTGTTGGTGCGCAGGTGTAGGGCTGCACCAACCCACCACCATTGGAGCAGTGGCTCATGTGTTACTTCCTTGGCAGCTGCAAGAACAACCCCACTTAGGTTAAACTCCAATCATTAATCTCCAAGGCATTCTGACAAAACGTTCTGTGCCACACTGAGCTTCTGTGATAAATTCCTTGGTCAAACAGCTGAATCAATAATTAGCTTCAGTTCCTCATTGCTGGACTTGAGAAAACATCACTGATTTGAATCCAAGAGGCATCTTCATTCAGAACCTTGGCACGTCTGCTGTTGGCACGCGGAGACTGTGCGTGGTACTGCTGCTGACGAAACTTGCTTTGATTCACCCTTGCTGCATCATAGTGCCAGGAAACCATCAGTCGTACACCATCGTCTTTCCTGTTCTTAGATTTTGCAGCTTTCTTTGCTCTGGCCACTGGTGGGCCCATGGCCCACACTGACCCATCGCTGTAGCTTAGCTCGATTCGTTGAATGGTGGCCTTGCCTTCGACCTGGGGAGAACTTCCAGGAGGGATTTCATTCAAGCCATACCCTATATAGAATCATTAAAGGTATGGAATAGAAATTATGTGCCTGCAACAGGTATTCAATCATGATGATTCTTGTTCTTGCAAAGAGTCTTAACAGCTGATGACAACTACCCATCATCTCGTGTTGTATATATAGCTCAGATTGTCAATTCTTTCTCTTGGTCCGTGGAGCTTTGACACTGGTGACTCGCAGCGGCTCCTCTGAGCTTGATTCCTGCGCAAGTGCTGAGTGATTCTGAGGATCCGGAGTTTAGATGAAGCAGTTGAACCATTGGTCATTTGTTCTCGGAGAATGCAACTACATTCCGAGCCATTCCCCCTCTCAGCAGCTCCCCAAACCTGTGCTGTAGACATGCGTGGAATGCAGCTTGTTGCATCAGCTTGGCGCTCGCCGCTGCCGTCAGCATTAGCCGGGTTTGGCACTTTTTCTGCTTGTTCATCCTCACGGAAACATGTATGGCCGACATCAACACGTGGGACAACTACCTTGGACAATTTGTTGGACGAACGTGACACTTCTTTCAGCGCTTAAAACCTGTCAGTGCCATTTGCCACACGCAAGCAAATGCTGGCCTTGTACAGTAGCACAACACCTACTGTGAGCATCCAAGATTCGTTTGCCGCCTTCTCGCTTTGAGGTGCCGGGGCAGGAGCGGACCTCATAGTGATGAATGACCTGTGTTGCTTTTCGAAATCCCTGGTGCCTGTTTTGTAATTAGTATATCTCTCTCCCTCTCTCTCTCTCTCTTCCTCACTGACACCCTCTCCAAGGAGACCAGCCAAAGCCAACTGAAAGATTCAACCGAATCTTTACATGTTTTGCAGGCTTAGTAGGGTGGAGGCCATCTCTGCTAGATTGGTTGGAGGCTATCGCGATTAGGTTGCTGTATGTTTTTTGTGACATGTTTTGCTGAACCTCTCTCGTAACCATCTCCGCTTCCTGGCAAAGATGCTCAGAAGCGGCAAGCAGGGGCTGCCTCCGGACTTCATCCAGCTCAAGGGCCATGTGGCAATAACGCGGCAGTAAGAAGGGTGGGTAGATCAGCTGGCATGTATTAAATGGCTAGTAATGGACACATTTGCTGAAACCTATATACATGCTGTGGCACCAGGGCATCCGATTTTGCTAGAATTTGTAAGAAACTGCTACACTGTTGTTCTACCACTTGATCTGAATTAGGTCAAAAGACAATGCGGCAAATGCACTGCACTTTGTGACACAAGATTTTAAGGAACTGGAAACTTGAGTGAGCATGGCCATCACCAGTCGGCAAGTAACGCACGTGGAATGTTGAAACATGTGGAAGGGATTGACTACTCTGTAGAATGGCAATGTTGGCAAACTGGCCGCTCAAATTATATATGTAAACTTACCAATTGAATCAGAAGCTCGTTCTGTGGCCATGATTGAGCAGTGCAATTGTCAAGAAGAAGCTCAAATCATTCAATTCAAATCCATGGACACCAAGAAGAGTCCCAAGGATTCAATGGCCCCTCACAGCTCTCTTGAGGTCGGAATCCCGAGCAGTCCAGGGCCAGGGTCAAGGCCGGTGCGCAAAAACTCTTTTTCTATCCAAGCTGTCTTCCAGTTGGAGCCAGCTAGGAGATTGAACAACTCTACAATCAGTGAAGCAAGGACTAAATTCGCAGTAGCTGTCAGCTGTCGCCTGATGAAGCGGAACAGTTGCCGAGAATTCATAATCAACACATTGTAATGCACGTGTATTTGGTGAATGATGAATGCTGTCCCTGAAGCGGCAGCGTACGAACCCTTCAAAACGGTAGTCGCCTCATGCATCTCAACGTGCCATGCGCAACTCACTTCACGGTCTCACGCTGGTCCAAGCGCAGCCGCAGGAAAAGGATGAAGCTAGATAAGCCGGTCACGGCGCTGCATACCTGCAATAGGAAGTATGCCAATGACATGGGACGCGCATGGACACGGTACATGACCAAAAGAGTGGACGAGCTGACTTGGCCTGCAGCAGCCGAAGAAACCATCGATTCTGCCCAGCCCTCTCGAACTCCACAGCGCGCACCTGCAATCGACGTGAGTTGACACATGTTGAAACTCAGAACTCAGAACACCGTGATAGTTCCTGAATGATAGTTCCACCATGTTCCACCACTAGATTCTGCAAGATGCACACATCTTCTGCTTGCCGTGCTCTTGAAACTTCACACTCAGCCTCGTTGCACTTGGCAGAGAAGTGAACCACCGAAAGAGCACCACCAAGCCTCGACAACATCAACGCGAGAAAGTAGCAAGCACGGAAGTACCGCAGCTAATGCACACAGTGCATCTTTCCACCCAAAACTTGGCAAACTTGGACTTGGACCCCACTGGCGCCTGGGATTGTGGTCAACTGTTGTCTGAGTCCCGTACGCAAAAGTCACGCACATGGGTGCAACGGAGAGGACCAGCATCTAGGCAGTGCTGGAGCATCATCAGAAAAATGCAGGTGGGTTAACACAAATACATGCAAATGCAGTGATGCCTGCAACACACACTTGGTATCTTTGGCCAAACGCCTTTCATGATGTGACCTTGTCTTACGCACGCCCGCAGCCAACCACTTCATGCCAATGAGCTCCCGGACCTATCCTGCATTTACATTTTGCTTGGTCTATATAAATATGCGTGTCATTATATCACCACCTGCATCAAAGTCACTAAAGAGACTGTCCTTGATCTAGAACACAACATTACTGTATTACATTAATCAGTGAACTCGTGTGAACTCCAGGTGAAGCCAACCACCTGCCCTAAGCTTCCTGCCCCACGGAGAGCAGCGAGGGCCACTCGCCCGGGCCATCCCCAATGACCGGGAGGTGCGTGTTGCAAAATCGCATATTTCAGGAACGCTGCCTAGGATCGACAACACTGAACCCCCAAACCAAACACTTTCACCAATGCGGCGCCAATGCGGTCAATGCATCAGCTCTCTGCCTCTCCTTCTCTCTCCTCTAGCTTTATACGCAACAAGACCAGCCAGCAAAAGGAGTTCAAACTAACAAACTTTCGTTGAAGAGTTGAATCATCTTGAAAGCGTTTCACACCCTCATCACATTTTTCGGAAAACAGCGGTAAGGCTCATCAACATCACTGACTTGTCAACTGATAAGGTCCAAGCCAGTAGCGGCTGCTTTGGCGCCCAGGCGTGTTTCCCCACAAGTGCAGCCAGCTTCAGGCGGAGGGAGTTGCGGGCGTCCAGCAGCAAACACCTGGCCAGCGACTCATGGGGAGTGAGTGGCACGAAACCATGTCCACATGTCCATGGGGCTACTTTATCAAAGAAATGTAATCACATGTGCACTTTGTTTTGATATGTTTCAATTAATAACTAGAACATACTAAAACACCTTGTTATGGCTCAAACGCAAAGGCAGTCCAAGGCTCTAGTCATGTTGTGTCTTGTTCAATTGCACTGGATGCGAACAAGTGACAAGATTGCCCCAAAAGATGTTGTGAACCTGCAGGGGCACACAGCGAAAGCTCTTCACCCAAATCTGATCCCGGCATGTTGGGTGCGGCTTGTTTTTTCTGTTTCTGCAGGGACATCCAAAGGCGTCGCCCGAAAGGCAGCAATTGACAGGTTGCTTTCACCCCCCTGCAATCGCACAATTGCATCTGAGTGGCACAAGCAATTGCTCCCAGGCCAGCAAGCTGCACCTGATCGCTGGCCAATGTATGCAACATGAAGGAGGCATCATGGCTCCTCCTGCAAATTGCTGTTCATTATAATTGTTAAAGTGCAGCTGAAGACTCTTGTCAAACCTCTCAGCTGAATCTTTGCTTCGACCCAGGGCTCGTACCAAGCAGCGCTGACAGCACAGCGGTCAATCCTAGGACAGTGAGCGTCAAATTGTGAACAGCAGTGGCGTGGTGTACAGTTTATCAAAGGCAGTCCAAGTGAGAGGCTCAAGCCTGCAAGGTCGGACATTGTTTAGTGAGATTTCTCCACATTCCAGGTGGCACTTGTTTATCGCACTTATTTTCACCTTGATTCACCTCCATTTCTTCCTTCTTCCTTCCTCTTTTCTTTTGCTGTTGCTCTGCATTGCTGATGTCGACAGCCGACTCGCCTCCCACAGAAGCGAAGCCAGAAGCGAATCCAGAAGAAGACCAAACACTACCCAATAGGCCCAATAGTTCCCAACTACCCACTAGTCCGCCAGAGAGGTCCACCGCGATGGGCTCCAGCCCCGAGGACCAGATCAAGGTTACCCTACCTGATGGTAACGAAGTTTGGCTCCCCCGATCTAGTATAGCCCTCCCAGACCAGCAACATGACACTAGACTGCCGGAGATCAAAACAGAAGAGCCAGATGGATCCCGCTGCCCGGAATGCTCTCCTGAAAAACAATCCCTTTTTGACCTAAAGAAGCCCGTGCTCTACACCCGACTGAAGGCATTCAGGAGCCCCCGGCAGGTACCCCGCATGGTCCTTTTGAGGTCCAACCCCTGCACTCGAGACGTTGCACCGCCGTATGGAAGAGGTTTCCACAACACCGGCTCCCAGTGTGGTTACCGGGCTGCAGCTAGCTCAATTTACAGCGTCGTTGCCTGAAATGGGGCAAGTTCGACGGACGAACCCTCATCTTGGTTTCCCTTCCTCATTTTCGCCCCTGGGCAAACATTGAGCATAACATAGTATAACCTCAACATACCTCAACTATTTTCTTACACAGGCTAGTTTGCGCCATCATGATGATGTGCAGTCAGTGACACAGCATTTGTACAATGACGATTCTTCTTTGCTACGCATAGTGTTGCCCACGGAATCTTCATGCAAGCAGTTGTTTCAAACTTGGAAACGGAAACACGACTACTCGCACCAACGTACTCCTCAAGGTAACGTGGATAGACCCCTGCGAGTCGGAAGAGATTTCACGGC